CTAGGACTTTACTCTTCGGGACAAAGGGGTCAATTGTCCCAGGCCCAGGACAGATGGGAGCCCAAAACTGACACTCTGACCATTAAAAATACAGGCAGAAAATATTTGTAATAAAAAATATTCAATATTAGAGTAACTAAATATATAAACATATCTGCATTAGGTAGATGTAATATGTTTTCTTTAAATAAGGGGCAATTAGAACCCCCCCACGCAACATAAAATGGTTTTACCAGGACAACGGTGGGCTGCAATTTTTAAGATTTGTTTTGCTGCTAACTAAGAATGTTAGGTTTTCAGATGTCCGGCGCACAGAAAAGAAAAGAGAAAAGGAAAGATGAAATCAAAGGCTTGGGGGATTTTATGAGTAAATGTTAAAAATAAACTGATGAGACAGGAACAGGTCCAGGAACGGGATTGCAGAAGAATGATGCCCATTCAGAGCCAGGTAAGAAGCAATGCGTTTATCAATGTGATTTCAAAGTATATTAACCGCTAGCTAGTGTAACGAAGAAAACAACTTTTCTTTTACAGAAATACTGAAGCTTAGCGCCAAAAAGAGTAGAAAGATGGCAGATGTCCAGGTGCAGTGTGAAAGACAGAGTGGAGCAGGAGAGCCATCTGAGGCATCACAGCTTCGTGGGGTGGGGGGAGCGTGTGTTTAAGGAGGAGACAGAGAGAGCCAACCCTACCGATAACAGACAGTGCTGGTGGAGGGGCTTGCTGCCCAATCTGAGAGTCTGAGCATAGTGGCTCAGAGACAGATCATACCAGGATATGATAGGTGTAGAGGGGGGGCCCAAAAAGACCGTGTTGTCCCGGGCCCTGGCAAAGCTGTCAGCTGGCCTGCTTAGTTATCTGATATTTCTCCACCACAGTTGGAGCCAGTGTTAGGGTTACAGCCCTGAGTGCACTGATGACCAGGGACAGTATAGTTGCCTTCCCCTTTCAGGCTCTTTCTATTTCTTCCCTGAGTTCTTGATATTTCTCCAGATCCTGTTATATTTTTTACTGATGTTTCCATCAGTACAAGTGATGGAAACATCAGCAAAAATTTGTTGCATTTGTTGCATGGAGTAGGACACTTTTTCTCTGTCTCCCAAACCCTCCCCTGTCTGCCCTGCTTCCTCTCGATGTCTTGTCTTCTTTTGGAGCTACTTTTTACATATATACTAAAACTGAATTATTGATATGGTCAGCAGTCTCTCGTTGCAATGGAATTATTTTTTCTACAGAAAGACGGGGTAAGGGGGACCCTCCTGTCAAGACGGGACATTTTTCTCAGGATACCGATGGATTCCTGGCAGAGATCGAAGATTGTTTTCCTGACTATGATGTCAGTTGAGGATGTAGAAGATGCATACATAATCGGATTTTTGATAACAGGATTTCTGCTGTTTGGGGTTGGTGTATACCTGGCATATTGTGAAATATGGAAAACTATGACTATTTTGGTGTAGGCTGCCTGGCATATGAGGGGATTTGCAGAGTTATCAACACTTAGACTGAAATGTTAAGGGAGCAGAATCGTAAACTGGATGCAATCCTTACACAGGACTGTGTGCAGTTAAAACAAGATATGCATTCAAATAAAATGGAGAAAAAAAAACAAGACAAAAAGCACAACATTAGCTAAATTCAAGAACACGATAGAAATAAACAATGTGCAAATAATAACATGGATGAAGAGAAGGTAAAATAGAAAAAAATAAAAAAAATCCCTTTATTGTCCCACAATGGGAAAATTCTGGTGTTTGCTGTGTGAACAAAGTCCCTAAAGTACAACGACAGCTACTGACTACATGAAAGCTGTGCAAACAATAGTTTGGGTGTTAAAAATAATTTCTGCATCAGATTAAAAACAAACAAACAAAAAAAAAAAGATAAATGATAGCAGCATGGTTTTAAACACTTAATCGGACTGTTGGGAGCCCTGAAGATAGTCAATGAACAGATAGTCGTAGCAATCTTTCATTGAAGAAACACTGTAGTTGCTTAAAACATTCTTGCATGGGCTCAGAAACAATGTACAAACAGTATTGTCATTTTCATTACAGTTTTTGGTGTTTTCTACAACTTTTTGTGTCCAGGGGCATATAGTACATAGAGAGCCTACCTAATGAGCTGTGTTTTAAAATCAATAAGCAATTTAATCTCATATCCCCTTACATTTACGTTTCAAACCTACCCAATATAATTAATACCGTTAGCGCATTATAAAAAACTAATTTTAAAATGTCAGTTTTCAATTACATGTATAATTGATTCTCCTATGAAGGTCACGTTTAAGTCCGCTAGGTTTGTGATGCTTCCTAACCAAGCAGTATGTGAACCAATCCTGATCATGAATACCTTTTTGCATAGCTAATTAAAATAACACTCAGCAGTAATACCTCGTTCTGCTAAGCCTGTAAGTAGAAATACTGGAGTGGTACAAAAAAGGGTGCAAGAATTTCCAATTGGGTACTGGGAACAATTATTGCAGGTTTTTGCATATGACTCTGTCAGGTTCAGTGGAGTTTTGTTGAGGAACCAAATGCAGAGACAGAAGGCGGAGTTGTTTTCTTGCAAATTTAATGAAGAGGTAGATGGTACAGAAGCATCGATCCAGACATTACCGGCGAGGAATTGAGGAATCAAACTAGGAGATGCTCAGAAAAAAAACAAACATAAAAATTAAGAGAATCCAGCAATGAGGAACTGCACAGGAGCTGTACATATGGGGGATAGAACATTGAATCGGCTGATCAGCTGATAGGAAGCAGGTATGGATAGAATCAAATAGAAAGGAGGTAAGGGCAAAGGAAAGAGACACTACGAGCAACAAAAAATAACCAGGGAAAACAAAAGTATCTAACTGTAAGTAGGAAAGAACTTAAATGAAGCTAAAGAGAAATAACTAATGACTACTACTTAAACTAGACCAAGGAATAAATAATACCAAAAATTCTGATAAGAGATAACTGAAAGAGATAACAAGGTAGAGTAAAACTAAGAATTTCGAAATGATATTGATCTTGACAAACACAGAATAACATAAAATAAAGCATTACTGAGAACTCAAAAAGAAAACTTAAACAGAACCCAAGATTCCAGAAAGGTCAGCATCATGACAGACTCTGCACGTGTGGAGCTAAATATTTTTTAGAACATTAATGCTTTTTTTTTTTTCAAATCTATTCCCAAGATAAAATCTGTTCAGTTTTGCATTATAAGTAGCTCTGGAGATAACTGGAGTTTTCAGCAAGTAAACAGACAAGACTGTAAAATATACCGTTTGCCACCAATTGTTTTAGGAGCCAGCTCTTTTTTTTCATTTTGATTTTATTATCTTTTCTTTCTATAACTATTAACCATAAAATTAAAAAGCTATAATTGATTATATTGTATTTTCACCTATAATTTTCACAGAAGGACAAATGTCTCTTCAAAGCAGTGAAGGGTCGGGAGGATAATGTACACATTCTTTTATGTTTTTTTGGAAGAGCTGGGGTTTTGGCAGCTATTAAGCAGGAGAAAAATAATTAAATTCATTATAATTTTCTTCAGTGCCACATGCTAATGGAAAGGAAGGTAGTTCCATAAAGCTGGCTCCTACAAATTGATTATTATGTTCCCAGTGCCACATTGTTAATGCATACAGCACAGTCGGCTCCTAGGTTTGAAGCAGAGCTATTTAAATTTAGTCCGTTTAGTTTGTAGCAAAAAGAAGCATATAAAAAAGCCTCTTCACCCATAAAAGACAACTTCCCTTAATGTACAAAATCAGTGTTATTGAATATAGGAAACACTTCTCTAAGCTAATATTTCTCCTTTATGAGGTTCTCACAAAGGCAGAAATGAGAAAAGCAGAAAGCACAACAGCTTTAAAATCTACTTTAGAACCTGACCTGTGTTTTCCTGACTGCTTTAATCTCTTTTCATGGACATGTATCATCTTTACAGCAACGGAAATATACATTGTCATTGAGTGACCATTTACACAAATTTAATTCATTTGAGAAGTCAGTTAGTTATACTGCCTCATGTATATGCTAATTGGAGACATCTCAGAATGCAATCATCACCTCTCTTTACTGAGTCTATCAAACCAGGGTAAAATTAGAATTTTAATGTAAGTATAAGTCATTGTTTTCCAATCCTGGTGCTAATTGCAAACCACATTGTAAGGAAACCATTGCAGCTGTGGTTAGTCATCAGTTTCCTAACAATTGGTTGAGCATTTTATAATCTAAAGCAGCTACAGAAAAGCAGCATTTAGATAATTTGATCTGACTTTGAAATAATGTTCAATTCTACTGGAAGTGTTCCACCTTAATTGGACATTGATTGGAACTAGTCAGGCTTTATTTTTTTATATCTATCAGCTCTGATCTGTAATCACCTCTTCAGATACTATAAAATTCTATAAAAAACACATTCTTCAAAGACAATACACAACTTCATGTTGAATGAAATCACACTGAATGACACATTTTAAGAGTTAAATATCACACTTCTTTAATGGAAGAGCATACATGGTAGATTTCAGAATATTGTCTGAAGAAATTAGAAACAGATAAATATCAAGGAGATGTAAGCTGATGTATAAATAAGGTTTCTGTAGGATTTAAATTCCCTACCACTATCACAACACTGCACATATTTCACAAATTATACCTTTGATAAAAATTTAAATCAACAACTCAGATCTCAAAGAAAACCAGAACTGGCTATTACCTAAGAAAAGCCTGATTGGTTTATTTTTAAGCAGAAATGAATATATAAAAATCTAATGCTTAGGTACAAGGGTTTTTGGTAATTTGTATCGTACCTAAATTAGTATAAAAGATTAAAATCTGCTTGTTTGGGTCAGAATTAAATTGTCTTGCTTTACTCTTTCTATCAGAGCTCATCAGGAGAAGTCATCACCGCAATCACCTTAATCTGCCCACAGTTATTAAATCTGGCCTATGGTTTCACATCCCGTATGTTTGCACATGGACATGCAGGTGACCTACCTGAACCTCACGTGCATGGTAGGCTATGATGAGGCCCAGCAGGATGACTGTGGACAGGCTGATCAGACACTTCAGGGCCAGAGAATACATGGAGCTCTGCGAAGAGACAAAAATACTGTGATTAACATTATTAAAGACAAAAAAAACAAACAGGCTACACATTAACAATGGAGTTTGCTCCGGTGGTTAGATTACCATACTTAAAAAAACCTTCAAAAAACAAAAACGCTTTTCAAAGAATAACATTTTACAAACCAGTTTTAATCATTAGGATCCAGTATGTAAAAAGGAAGTTGGAGTAAAGTTAAACTGTAGTATTTGAAGCATCAATATCTGTCTGGAGTCAAGCTTTAAATCCTCTGCTTGTCTGGTTTGATAGTGCTCATAATCAATGCTGTGGGGAACTTCCAATCAATACAACTCATAGCACTTCAATGGCTTCACCAACCTCTCACTTAGAGCAAAGCAAGGCATTCTCGTGTTATCAAACCAGTGTTTGCAGAAACACACGCTTGAATGTTCATGAAAAAGACTGAAAAAGAAAGTACAAATAAATAAAATTGATGAATTTGTTAAGAGTGAATGAAGGAAGGGAAATCAAACTACTATTCAACTTACTCCAACATTTTTCTAATTTTAAGCATTCAGGTGTTACCAGTGAAAAGTGGAATTAAGACAGCCTGATTTAGTCAGGTTCATCCAGTTCCCTTTGGTCACTCATTCTTCCTCTCATTCATTTTCATCATGCACCAGGTGCTACACAGAGAGGGATAGCCATTCAGAGAGCCTTGCTGTCTGTAAAATTGTTGGACCCATTTTTTATGGCTTGAGATTGGAAAACTTTGCTTTTTTTGTTTTTTAATGTGTTATATAAAATGTTTATCTCTGAGTTATAGATTCTGCCATTAACATATCTAAGCCTTATCTAATACAGAAAATATCTCAACTACTATGCTGTAAGCTAGAAAGAAATATAAGATACTGGAGTTAAAGAAAGTGTCCCTAAATTCTGTAATATAAACTTTTATTTGTTTCACCTTTTTAGACTGACCAATGTGAAAAATGTCACTGAGTAAGTTGCTTTTAGATATTTAGTATAAAACTAACTTGGTGTGCTCCTTTTAAATAAGAGACCAAGAATGCAAATTGCAGCAGTTGTGAGTAGTGGTATCTTGCAGCAAGAAGGTGTGGGTGAGATCTGAAAAAAAATAGCAGCTTGCAATTTGAATGTTGTAGGTTTAATTCCCGCTTCCTCAAGGCATTTAGCCTTGCTTTGCCAACATTTACCCTATGTCACAACAAATCTCCACTGTACATATATTGCAGCCTACACCCACCCACAAATATGTTGTGGTTTCCATGTTTACTGAGGACTTCTATTTGACTTACCTTCATTTGTATGGCCTTACCCCAATACTAACTATTACCAGCATATGGCAAATCTAAACTAAACCTTAGATCTAAACTTAACCCCAAACCCAACAAGATAAGTTTTCCTTATGGGGACCAGTTGAGTGGTCACCACAAGTCTCCACAATGTAGCATATTTAAACAAAAATTGGCCGTACACTGTCATCACAAGGTAACAAAAACAAGTCTAAGAAAACACACACACACACACACACCTAATTTCTACAAAATTAGAGCAAAATTTTAGATTTTAGTATAATAAAGCTAGCCTCGTGAGACCATCCTGATCTCGCAAGCTTTCAAGAATTCACTCGCTAATCAGTCTGGAGACTTTCCGTTGAAGAAAATTTGGAGCCGTTCACCAAACGAACGTCCAATCAGCGTTGGCTTTGAGGCGGGTTGAGGTGTGACGCAACGAGAAGCGTGACAGATTAGTCTTAAGAACATGGCGGCTTTAGCCGATGATACTAGCGTTAGCGTGGCTATCGGGCAAGT